ATTGCGAGTTTTAAGTGCGTTTAGGCGCCGGTATATATCGGGTCGGGCACTGCCGGTGCTGTCGACGATCACATTTTTAACCTCGTCCAATTTGTGAAACGAAAAGTGCAGGTGCGTGCAAAGGGTTGGGTCCATGTTTTCCGGTGGTAACTGTGCCAGGTTATACAAATAGCAAACCACACACACACACACATAAAAATTTATAATTTTTATAAAACTTACCATTAATTCCGTAGGAATTGAGGGCTGCCTTTGATAAGCAGAGCCCACGGCTATCCCTATCGGCAGCCGTAGGGGCCGGTTATCCCGGCGGTCCTTTTGATAAAGCATACGATATCCCGGCTATGGCTAAGTAAGTGGACAAAAACATATTAATCTACTTGAAATAATGACAACAACTAATGTATAATATATTAATAAAACCTGTAATCATTATATTATTATAATTTTAAATAACCAGAATTATTAATTTATTAACATAAATGGTATAAAAATAAATTTCAATAATTTTATTATACTCTCAATAATGACAGAGCACTTGACTATATGAATGTGATGACATACGTGTTGGCCGGCGCCTGGGATCACAAGACTGGCCATCACTCGCCGTATCAAAAGTGCATAGATTATAGTCAATCGTATGTTACAAAAGGTATGCCCAAAGACAAGGTGTTGATAGGAATGCCCTTTTATGGCAAAACATTTACACTGAGTGACCCCAACCAACACTCTATGGGCGCCCCCATCACCGGTGCCGGACACACACCTGGCGGCCATCAGGACGCCGCCTATTACAGCGAAATGTGTGATTTGGTTAAGAATAAGGGTTGGATTAAAGAGAGACCGGATCAGGGTCACGACCCCATTGCCTACCATGGTGATACATGGGTTGGCTATGACGACCCATACCAAGCCTATGAGTGAGTGGTTTATTACATGTATTACATTACATTACTGTATATTAACAAAAATATAATTGTATCATTAGGGCATCGAATGGTAACCACTCTACTTCCAATATAATTTAGATAGTTATATTTATGGTAGCATTGAAAATGATTTACAGTTTTGTTGTCTAATAGTGTATTTAATTTTATTTTTTGTGTCTTATAGTTTGAATAGTTGCTACTGTATGTATATTTATTTACTACTATGCTTTATATAACATTGAAATACAAACTGTAATCCACACTTAATTGAGTTTAATAATTACCGTTTGAATAGAGATTAATTTTAAATTGGAGTGGATCGGATGTACAGTGTACTTTATATTGTTTTTTAACACAACTATCCTAAGATTTAGATTCAATGTTAATTAATTATTCATTAATTCTAAAATTATTAATAATAGCCATAACATTGAATATTATTGTGATTAATAAATTGAATTTTTAACTTTTTAAAATAGCAAAAGCAAGTGGGTTAAAGATAACGGTTTTGGTGGCATAATTGTGTGGGAGATTGGCCAGGATGATATTCATGGACAGTGTTGCTCGGTGAAATTTCCTCTGCTCCGGGCAATAAATAATGGTTTACTGGGCACAGGACAGGCACCCGCCACTTACGGCTGCGAACATAAATAGTTTTATATGTTAATGATTTTAAAATCGTGATAATTAAAATTTATATATTATTTTTAAGTTGAAATTTAACATGTTTAAATAAAATAACATAAAACTCAAACAATTTTACTGTTGTTATAAAATAAAGTAAATTAGAGGAACCAAGTTTTAAAATTTTTAACAAACTAAAATTGCATTGTATTTATTTTATAAATAAATATGCAGAAAATTAATAATCATTGCAATTTAATTAAATGGGAAATATTGCAGATGCTGTAAAAGTAACTGTTAAACTATTGGTCGGCAGTCTAGGTCCTTTTGGGACCTTGAAGTAGAAAAGCCAATTGTCATAACCAACATTAAAACTATGTTTTAAAGTTTGGATGAAAAATTATTAATCATTTGAATGAATGAACATATTATACACAGAGGGTCAAATGTTCATAAAATTGTTGAAAATGAAAATTGAATATCAGAAATCACATTAAAATGTGTATTTAATAATCAAATTTGTTTTAAATGACGTTTTGTTAATAGACTGAAAACCAACCACTATAAAAATGGGTGAGTAACTATTAGGTTGACCTTCACACGGTGTTTCTCGTTTAATTCTGACGAACCTAAATTTTTTACCTACCGTTGCGCCACCTATTTATGGCACACTGTGAATCTGTATATGTGATATGCTAAAAAAGAGTGCCGATCAATATGTTAAACAGTATTAACAAAAATAACTTAAATATAAAATATAAACGAATATCAATAATAAATTTTATGATAATAATTATCATTGATAAGTTCAAGTGTTGATCTAATTATATAAAGTTTAAGCTTTACAAAATATAAACTCAATTGTTGTACGAAAAACCATTACAAACAAATTGCAAAATCTGTTTTTGATAAAAGGTTAATTACAACAAATAATTTGATTTATTTAAAAAAACAACATTTTTATATTGTGTTTTAACTTTTAATAATTAATGTAATATTGCTAATTACTTTAATTTTTATCACGTATAATAATAGTACAATGAATGTGCTACTATACGCTGCGCTTGTATGCGCACAGTTAGCGCTGTCCGTATGTAAGCCCCGAGTGATTTGTTATTATCCCGACTATCGGTTGGGACAGTTGCCGCCCGAAAACATAGATCCAACCCTTTGTACACACATATTATTTTCATTTCACAAATTGGACCAGGGTAAAAATGTGATTGTCGACAGCACCGGCAGCGCACGACCCGATATATACCGACGCCTTACGGCACTTAAGGGCCGCAACCCTGAGCTCAAAGTGATTGTGGCGGCAGGTGGTGGTGGAGCCCCCGACGCACCATGGTCGAATATGATCAGCAATCCTAGTCTGAGAGCGGCGTTTGTCACCAATACTGTCGCCTATTTAAAGCAATACGGTTTCGATGGTCTGGACCTCGACTGGGAGTTCCCGGTCTGTTGGGGCGGAGACTGTAATAAAGGACCCGCGTCTGATAAACCTAATTTTGGCAAACTTGTCACGGTAAGTCTCTCTCTCTCTCTCTCTCTCTCTCTCTC